TTTGCATCCTGAAAGAATCCAGAACCATTCTGAAGATCCAATATCATGTTTCAGACATCCATCAGTTGCAACACTGTCTCATCCCAGTGGAAGGTGACCTCTTTATTAGTCATGCCTTGGCACTTCCCACAAGGGCCACAGCAATGAGACGAAACTGCCCTTTGAGGTATCAGCACCCATAGAAATCAAATATCAAGACAAAACCTGAGTAATCATTGCAATCTTGAAGTTCTTAATAATGATGAAGCTGAGCTGCACAAAAAGACAATTTTGGGGTCTAACACCACCTCACAGGAAATTACCTCAGGAACAAAAGTATCCCTTTTAGTTGTATTATTACATAGTTGTATTGAGCTATATTATACAATTTTGATCCTGCATTCTATGAGGACACAGCAGTGCAAGAGATAGATGCTTCCTCCTCCAACAGGAGGTGAACAAACAGGACAAGTAACCCATCTTCCACTTCACTCTTCCTTATGACACTTCATACCACTGTTTGCTTCCTGAGGTCCAAAGTTATACAGCATAGCTGCAACAAGTTCAATATTTAAACATGTGACACATCAAAAAACAGCCCTCCAAGCTCTCACAACTCTGCAATGCCTGTATGTGCTCCAAGAGCTATACTTGAAAATTACAAAGTTCTTGTTGCCTTTTAAATATAAAACCATTTTAGATAATGAATTTCACCCCTTCAGTTCTTCCCCTAACCTGAAATATGACTCTGAAGCGGCTACTTTCTTACTACTAGTTTTCTAATCAGCCCTTAACATACTTTGCTCTGAAGGTGCAGCATGAGCCAGACCATGTGTACTATCTGATTTCTCTGTACTATTACTACAGAGAAACTGCTACCCAAACTATTTCTTGGCATCATTCTCATTTCCAAATTACCTAGGGAGTGAGAGTGCTTGAAAAATCTTTTAGAAGATACAGCATGAGTGACAATGCAAAAATTCAGATGGAAATATTTGCTCTGAATGTGCATTTCATCCCTCCAAACACATATAGGGTACTAGAAAGGTGATTAAATTCAAAAAACCACTTATTTTTCTTAAAGCAATAGATATATTTCCAAGCTGTCTATATTAAGAAACACTATGACATGAGCAGCAACACCAACACAGAAAATTTCACAAAGCGTGTCTCACCCCAGACATAACAATCCTTATTTTGCTCTAAACCAGAAATTATTCTTTATTAAAGTATCCAGGGTTAGACTAACAGAAGCATTAAATGCAGGGCCTGACAGACACCATGTCAGAACAGATCAGAAATAGCTTAATCTCAGCATTCTCACTGTGTTGATGAGAATGTGATGAAGTGCTAAGTTTCAGCTCCACCAGAAATGTGCAAGAGAATTTAGGTGGTTTATTCAGCAAACATACTTGTTTGTCACTGGAGAGAGGAACATGTTGCTGTCCTAAGTAGCTTACATTTGAAAGCTATGTATCCATAGAAGCATGGAATCATTTAGGCTGGAAAAAAAACTTTAAGAACACCCCAAGTCCAACCATTCCCTATAGCACTGCCAAGGCCACCGCTAACCATGTCCCCAAGTGCCACATCCACAGGGCTGTTAAATCCCTCCAGGGATGGTGACCACACCACTGCCCTGGGTAGCCTGCGCCAGGGCTGGACAGAAACATGAAGAAATTTCCATAATATCAATCTAAACCTTCCCTGGCACAACTTGAAGCTATTTCCTCTTGTCCTGTCACTTGTTTCCTGTGAGCAGAGCCTGATCCACACCTGGCTGCACCTCCTGTCAGGGAGTTGTAGAGAGTAAGGTGGTCCTCCCCAAGCCTCCTTTTCTCCAGGATGAGCTCCCTCAACTGCTCCTTGAGCTCCAGATCATTCCACAGCTCTGTTCCCTTCCCTGGACACTCTCCAGCCCCTCAATGTCCTTCTTGTTATGAGGGGCTCAGAACTGCCACCAGGATGGGAGGTGCCTCAGCAGTGCCAGCACAGGGGACAGGCACTGCCCTGGGCCTGTGCCCACACTATAGGTGACACAAGTCAGGTGCCATTGACGTTCTTGCCCGCCTGAGCACACCTAGGCTCATGTCCAGATGCTGTCACCAGCACCCCTAGGGCTTTTGTGCCCCATAGCTTTCCAACCACTCTGCCCCAGCCTGGAGCACTACAGGGGGTTGTGGTGACCCAAGAGCAGGATGTGGCACTTAGCCTTGTTGAACCTCATACAAAGGCCTCAGCCCACAGGTCCACCCTGTCCTGAAGCCTCTGCAGAGTCTTCCTGCCCTCCAGCAAATCAACACACTCACTCAACTCAGTCTCCTCTGCAAACCGACTGAGGGTGGACTCATTTGCTTTGAAATCTTACTGACTCCAGAATTTATGAGGAATGGGACTGTCTCTTCCCACATATTCAATGCACTCTGGAGATGTTGAAAGGGATCATTGGAGTGCATCAATGAGATATTCAGTACAAATTCAGACTTTTGCTTTACCTTGGTAGTTCAAAAAGTCATAAAAGTAGATTTAATCAGAAAAATCTTAGCGTTTTAGTAGTACCCAAACTAGTTTTTTGAATACAAGAGTGGAACAGCTGTTGAAGGGATTATAAACACTAATACCTCTACAATTAAAGGCTGACCATATACTGCATGTTCTATACCACATTCTACCTTCAGTACTGTGACCAGAAAAGCACTAAATGAGTTCTCAACACAGCCTCCTACTTCAAGTTCCAACACAACATTAATTGTAGCAGACAATTGAAAAGTCTCCATGTTCTTATAGAAATAAAGTGACTTGGATCATCCAAGGAAATAAACCTGAAGCAGATCAAGCATTTCCCAGAAGTTACTTAAGTTCTGAAAGCCCTTAAATTAGAAAGCTTAGAAAAGCTGGTGAAGAAACTTCAAAGTGTAGTAACACCTGTATACAGTGTAACTTTAAAAACAAACCCACGTACTTATGAATTTGCTCTGGAGTGAAAACTTCAATTATTCCCTCAATGCACAATTTCTAGAAGCTCCTAATAAGGATCTTGGGGCAACCCAGCAATAAAAAACCAGTACAAAGCCAAGTATAATGTTTGACCTAGTCAATAATCAGAATGTTATGTATAAAGATTAAACACAGGGATTACCTCACTGCAATTACTCAAGAGTTGGAATTTGAAAAGCTGCTAAAGGACAGGTGAGTGAAATAAAAAAATTTAATAAAACATGTTAATTGCTATGTTCAATGCAGCTAGGAACAAGGGAGAAACATGAGCTATTAGTTTAGAAAGAAAACTGCAATTAAAGACATTTGAGGTTTCCTATAGTAACCAAAGTCCTTTGAGAGCTGCTAGGATTGTCTCTCCAACAGAAGATCTCAGGCAGGAGCTAATCCTGAAAAAATCTTGCAGAACACAGGTAAATGGCCCAACAGGGATTCATATACTTAGCTAAACTTTCTCCTTTTCACAAATCTATTGTGAAATCAAGTATTAAGTCATGAGGGTTTGGAAGGCTGTGGCCTGAAGGACTAAACCTTCCAATCTGTCTCAGACAACAGGAAATTGGGTTAATCTTTATACACCCACACACAGGCAGCTCTGCTCCTCAGAAATTTGTTTTCCAGATAGAAACATTCTAGTTTGCTGCTCTGCTCAAAGGGATGCACAGGAAGGAGCATGACCATATGCTTTGAGAACTACACTGAAGCAAAACAGGTTAATGGCCTATTAAGTTACCCAGGAGATAGTTGGACAAGTTATTAAAATGGTATCAAAATTACTGCAAGATATAATTATATAGCTTTTATTGTGTGAAAACAGGAAGACACCAGTGAGTTTAACTCTTACGGCAAGCTAACCTTGTCTGTCCAGCCAGAAGTTACCAAGCTTCAAGGAGAAATCAGACACTTCCAAGCATCCCAATCCTAGCATGATAAAACCCTTTCACCCTGATTTGGAGTAGGAATTAGTGTTAAAATATTATAATATTTTGATTGCATACTTTCAGGGAGAAAAATTTGGGTTCTCAGTTTACTGTCAATAGAGTCAGCTGCTTTCCATAAATTCATTTCCCTTCAGCCATTCCCTTTGCTCCCTTTTCAATCCTCTACCAAAAAAAACCAGAGTTATTGGTGCTGCAATTCCAACTCTGCAGCCATCCATACGCAGGATCACAGAATCCCTGGATGGTTTGAGTAAGAAGGGACCTTCAGGATCATCCAGTTCTACCCCCTGCCATGGGCAGGGACACCTTCCACTACACTCGGGTGATCCAAGCCATGTCCAACCTGGCCCGGAATACTTCCAGAGATGGGGCAGCCACAGCTTCTCTGGGCAACCTGTGCCAGTGCCAGTCCCTCAGCTAGTCAGTGCTGCATTCCTGTGAGTTCTGTGGTTGCAGGCTACAAAGTGAAGCTTAACAACTAATTGCCACTATTTTCATGTTAGAGCAGAGTACACAGGTGCAAAGACAGTGGGAAAACAGGCAAAGTGCCAGAACATGGGAGAAAGCATAGAGTGAATTTAAGGACAGCAAGACCATTCCTAGTAGGATAAACAGTAACAGTGTAGCTACACGTTGAAAGACAATGATCACAGAACAAACTAAAAGCTCTTTGTTGAATATTAGGTTGATTTAAAAGGCAGCAATTTATTGTGCTCTTTTTCAATTCACTGAGAATCTCTGTGTTGAAGAAAGCTATTTATTTTCTCACAATTTAATCAGATTTATTTATGGCAGTAACTCCCCAGTGAAGCTACATTTGCTATCTGAAGGTTATTTGCCCACAACAAAACATAGAACACAGGTTTTCCAACCAGCAGCCAAAACTAATCTAAAAGAAACACTATTTCAGTTTTTCCAACATTATCAGAAGGCAAATCAAACTGTTCCACAGCTAGTGAAAGCAACAAGTAACTCCAAATTCCATGCCATTTCAGGTTACCCAAAACTGTTCCAAGTGGGGATTTCTGGGTGTGGATTTGTGGTTCTGAATAAAGTACCTCAGTGTGTTTATCATATACTCACTCTCTCTCTTTCTCTGTCAGCTTGTAATTGATGTTGTCTTTGATAGCAGACCTGGAGCCCTTGTGAATTATTGGATACCTGAGTGGCACTTGCAAGAAGAAGGAGATCATGGAAACCAGGTGAGCAGTGTAGCCCAGGGCAACAGCAATGCTTCCATCATCTTTTGCTGCCAATAACAAAGAGAGATTCCATTAGTGGATCCATTGAATCCTGGTGTTTACCCTTGTTGCTCAGAGAACACCACAATTAACAAAGCTCTCAGAAGTCAGAACTTAACACGACATGCTTGCCTCTCATGACAGAGCATGTAAAATGGGGGATGGCTTCTTCTCCTGCCAGTTTTACTCTTTCAAAGCTAAACTCAAGCCTTGCTGCAATTCTCTAGATGGAGCTGTGACTGAGGTCAGGGAGAGCTGCATTCCTCCACAGCTTTATTCAGGAGTGAGATCAGCTGGAGAGACACTGTCCTCAGGGCATGAACTCAGTTCTCTGCCAATAACTGGAAAAGCTTAGATTAACCTATCGTTTTAAAGTAGCATTTTTTATTTGACATTTAAGGTTTCAACCTTAAAGCTTCATCTGCTGGGAATACACACAGGTTTTGTGATTCAAATTAAATCCTTCAGCTTTTCTTTCCCTTTTCCCTACTTTTCCTTCTTTAGGGATACAAAGAGCACAAGTCATCCCTTCTACTGCACAAGGGAGTCTCATGAAATCACCTAACAGAGGACCTTCAAGAAAGCTCTTAATGATGTTCAACAACAACTATGAAACCATAGTTTCAAACTGAGCTCTATTAGAACATGACAAAATATGTGGGTTTAAGTCATACTCCCTTCAAAAAGAATTTTGTACAAAGGACTCAACCTTTGCATCAAAAGTGGTTTTTTAGGGAATAATTATTTTTGATCCTTCAGATGCCTAATTTATAAAAAATATTATCTACTGAGTCTGAGATAAGATCCACCTTTCAAATTTAACTGCTTATTTCACTAAGCTGAATGTTTAGAACTTCTTCACAACACAGTATTTCAAGAGACTTGGATACAGAATTAGGAATTCTTTTATAAGGAATTAACCCCAGTCAACTGCAAATGGGCCAGAAGATGCACAGCACCGAGTTTCCAGGAATTACCAAATTCACTTCATTACCACATTCAGTGCAACCAGGAAAACAAAGCAATAGGCTCATTTTTATCCTATTGACAAATTAATTTGTTTTAAAGATTATTCCTCCAGTATTCTAGCATCCAATATAGATGCTGTTAGTACAAGTTAATTACTGTGGGATGGTTTTAAATAGTTAGACAATCAATGGAGGTTTTTGTTCAGGAAAACAGAGTGACCAAGAAATTCTCTGGGGCATTTTAATGAAGTTCCAACTCACATCAAGCATTTGCAGGTGAATGCATGTAGTTACCTGTACAGCTGTTACACAGAAAGGCACATGATATATTTGCTTCTGCAACAGGATGAGAGTTGACAGTTAAAGCAGAAGCTGACTTGTACAGTACTCCATACTGTCAAAGAGCTTTAAAGTTTCATTTTTGTGAGGTATTTATTTGGTAAGTTCACCAGCAGCTACAGCAAACTGAATGGGGATTTATGCCTGTTGCCTCAGCAAGATTTATGGACTGAAAGTGGCCCCAGTGGAATTTCAAGTCAGACAAATATTTTCCAGAATTACTGAGTTTGGAAGGCACCTCTGGGAATGGCATAGTCCTCACCCCCGGCCCAGCTAACAACAGGTTGCCCAGGACTGCATCCGGGTGGATTTTGAGCATCCCCAAGGATAGAGACTGCACAGCCTCTCTGGATAACCAGTTCCAGTATGGAGTCTTAGAATACAGAGGTGCTTTTCTAAGAGTCAACAGGAACCTCATTTGCATTAGCTTGGAAGTAGGAATAAATCCACAAGTTTTCTTTCCTGGTCTAAAATTTGCATTCCAAGCCACTGCTACCAGTTTACTTAATTTTACAAAGTGTGAACTGTAACAACTAAATTAAGAATATCCAGCTACCTTGAAAGTCTTCAGAATTAGGAAGCTTGACTCCACAAACAAAGTAATCCTTTTGATCATTCTGTAAGTTGAAAATCAACAGTGGAGAGTCAGAATGGAACAGTAATATCCAGTAAACAAAAACCTGCATGAAATCCAATGACAGCAAAGCTAAGAATAAAAAATATTCAAAAACTAATTATTCAAGTGACTCTGACAGAGTATTTTAATCCACGTTTCACATAGTTCAGAAAATAAATGCAACTTCTTTAAAGAAAAAGGGCTTCATCTTAATCAAGTCATTTTATAAAAGGGTTTGGAGCTCAACATTTTGACATTTGTTTCTCTGCACTCTGTTAGAGCTCAGCTAGCTCACTGTCAAGGTTACTTTATACAACAGCAACCAAAATGGAAAACATCCATTAAATAGAGCTACAGCTATTCCACTTTTATAGTGGAGACTATCTGAGAGGTGCTGGTGTGAGTCTCCTCCGTGTGAAGTTTGCAATCCAAGGACCAAGTGCAAAAAAAAGGTGGAACAAATAGGATAAGCAAAGAGCAATTTTCATCAGGAATAAAACATATTTGCTTGCAGTGTAATAAATAAGAAGTAGACTTCACACCAAAAACATACCAGATCAATAGGGTAGATGCAGGATAGCTCTGACAGCAGCTGCTTGCATCGAATAGTCTGCTGGGCATTTGTCTTCAAGAAGAGTTCTCTTTGGGGAAAGAGATCCCAAAAGCATTAGTTTCTTCAAAAGCTTTAAATAAAGGTATCAAGCTCTAACACCCCTTTCTGCAGCTTCCCAAGTATCACCTCATAATAATACAGCAGACAAAATTAATTTTTGCTTTCAGTTGTACCTCACACTTTAGGTTTATTTTGACTTTGGAAATTAAGTATTACAAAGCTATGTTACACTAAAGCACAAACAGAAGTCCTATCAGAGGTTACACATGCAACAAACACCTGTTTTCTTCTCTTTTGGACTTGCCACTGGTAATTTTCATTTTAGATATCTACAAATTGTAGCAGAGGTGTCTCAAGAGAAGTTTGGAGGCAACATGAGGCAGAATTTGGTGCCAAAAGTCCCATTTCAAATGGATTACTCTCAAAGCTGTATTTCTTTTCCAAGTGCAGAACAAGCATAGGGCCTTTTACCTCTTAGCAGTACATTCCTTCCTTAATTCATGCAGGGATTCATTATGCTCTTGGAGTTTCTGGCATTCAGTCCCAAATGCATTTTCTAAACATGAGGAATGAGAAAAAAAATAGTATCAAGTACTTTCTTAGTTATCAGAAGTTTTCAAAGTAGGTACTGACACAAATATTGGCAATAATCCTCCACTTAGTATTTTCTTTTTTTTTTTCCTTTCTATGTTATGCTCCCAAAGTAGGGAATGCCACCACAGGAGGAACACCTGTCTTCGTGCACTGCACACCATTCACCAGCCAAATACAACCCTCATTCTCTTTTAATACCTGTTCCCCCCCCACGGCCACTGCAGTGCAGTAATTCAGCTGTGGCATCTCAAATACTTGCACTGCCAGACCAAGTACATAGTAAAAATCTCATTCTTAGTAGTGACTAATTAGTTTAGGTTCAACTAAGTATTAAAAGCAAAAAATCCTGCAAGAAGATCAAACATGTGGCTTGGCCTTGGTGTGCTCCAAGGAGACAGTGAGGCAGCATTTTACTGCAGGACATTTCCCAGTAGATTCACCTTTCACTTACATAATAAGCTATTAAGAGGGATTTTGGTCTTCTAACCCTTGAATTGGAATCCTAATCACAATAACTTCCCTCATGACATTATAAAGGCCTGCAGCAAGCAACTGTTAACTGCATTACAGTGCAGCTCTTCTGATTTTCTCATTAAACGTTAATTAAGCACAGGTTTAAGATTGCTTTAGAGAGGTGTCTTGGTAAGAAGTCATTTAGAGACAAGACAGCAGAAATTGCTGTCCAGAATTCAGTATAAAACAGATGGTGAAGAAATGACACCTGGCTGCAAATTTCAGATAAAGAAAACAACACAACACATTAGAGCCAGACAATAAATAAACCTAAAAGAGAAACCAACACCTTCATTATGGTCACTGAGACCATAACTAGGCTAAGGTTTTCACACTTACCTCTATCAAGCAAAGTACTTTTTTGCTTATGCAACAAAGCTACTTCTTGACCAAGTGCCTTCTTCTGCCTCTCCAGTTCATTACGTAGCACCAGGATCTTCAGTTGTAAACATTCACTCTCCTTTTTCTGTTGGAAGAACAGGTTTTAAAAAAAAAACCAGAAGTTTATCTGCACAGAAGCAGTTCCAGGAAAGATATAGCAGAGAAGGAAAAAACAGGGCAAGACTGATGCCTGCCAGACTAAAGGCTGAGTTCATGGATTACCACAGGCAATGGATTCCCCCAAGACTAATCATTTTGCTGCTTTGGAAGGAGATAACTGTGTCTCACAGTGCTTGTTCTTCCTGTGGGATTCATCTCTCCCAAGCCCAGAGCAGAAATTAAGGAGAGGTAGAAGGAAACTTCTGCAGGATAAGTACATACAAACTTACCGCAGAGCACGAGCAGCAGGATGAACATTCATTCCCTGGCAAAGGGTTTGGCAGCCAGAGGGAAAGCAAGCAGTAAGTCTATACTAAATGGAGATATGAAGCTGGAAAAAAAGCTGGAGATGTCCACACTGCACTATTAAATCCACCTCCCAGCTTAAGGATGATGAGAAAAAACAGGATACAAATAAGGCTGAGAGACCCAGGGGTGTTCAGCCTGGAGAAGAGAAGGCTACAGTGAGACCTTAGAGCCCCTTCCAGTGCCTAAAAAGGGCTCCAAGAGAGCTGGAGAGGGACTTGGGACAAGGGCCTGGAGGGACAGGACAAGGGGAAATGGCTTCCCACTGCCAGAGGGCAGGCTTAGATGGGATATTGGGAAGGAATTCTTGGCTGTGAGGGCCGTAAGACAGTGGCACAGATTGCCCAAAGAAGCTGTGGCTGCCCTATCCCAGGAAGTGTTCCAGGGCAGGTTGGATGGGGCTTGGAACAACCTGGTCTAGTGGAAGGTGTCCCTGCCCATAGCAGAGGGTGAACTGGATGAGCTTTAAGGTCCCTTCCAACCCAAACCACTCTCTGACTCTGTGAAAGAACACACACTAGGGAGCAGTTACATCATGCCACATATTTGAAGAATTCCTTCTTTTAAAACTTTCAGCATTTGTCCTGTTCCTAC